CTTGTTTAGTCTGGTGAAAAGGTTCCAAGAGGAGGGTATGGTGACATGAGCATTGATATGCTGAAGAGATAGGCCGTAATGGGTGTGCTGCCTATTACAAACAAGGTTATGAAGCTCCTAGTGGTGTGAAAGAGATATAGTCCTTTAGGAGACCAGAGAGGATTCGAGAAAACCATCTCAAAGACTACCTGAGATCACTCACAGCTCCAGGTTTGCAAGACTAGTTGCTGGAAAGTAACCAAATGACTTCCTAGAAAATTCTGTGACCTTTCAGTCTCCTCATCAAGTCAGAGAAACAATATTTCCCTGTGGCAGGAATGTATCAAAACCGCTCTAATCCAGTTAAAGCATAAGTCATTAGAATGTAGAATCCTCAATTTGCATCACAATATGATGCACAGGAAGTCCTCATTAAGATGACTGAATGGGTTCCTCTGGGGCTACTGCTTATAAGAACCCAAACATCAAGACTTTCAGTGGCACAAGAGAAAGGTGAAATTCCTAACTATAACTACATGAATAGAAGTGATGTTGGGGCTGGCCCCATGGCTGAGCAGTTAAGTTTGTGCACTCCACTTCAGCGGCCCGGGGTTTCGCTGGTTCAGATCCTGTGTGTGGGCATGGCACCACTCATCAAGCTATGCTGAGGTGGCGTCCCACATAGCACAACCTGAAGGACCTACAACTAGTATATACAACTGTGTCCTGGGGGTCTTTGGGGAGAAGAAGAAAAGAAAAAAAACAGAAGATTGGCAACAGATGTTAGCTCAGGTGCCAATCTTTAAAAAAAAAAAAGAAATGATGCTAACTCGGCTATGCCTGGTGTATAAGTATTATAATATAGACCTGGCAATGAGAAAACAAAAATGACACCTAGAATATGAAATTAAGAATCAACATGGGGATGAATATGCAGGATGAATCTGGGCTATTGTAACTAGGGCATTTTCTTAGTGTATTTCAAAGAGCAAAAGTTATCATTATAATGAACTCTAACTTAGAAGTTTTTAAGTTTATGCTTTGTGTTTTTTGTATCTTGTCTGAAAAACCTTTGCATAACAAAAGTCACAGGTATTTTCTGTTTTCTTCCGGAACTTTATATTTTCTACTTTTACATTTATGTCCATGACCTATTTCAAGTTAATTTTTGTATATGGTGTGAGCTACAGATCAAGTTTCTTTTTTTTGCAAATGGATTTCCAATTGTTCCAGCATTATTTGTTGAAAAGACTACCTTTTGTCCATTGAGTTACCTTGACAAATTGTTAAAAATCTGTTGTCCATATGTGTGGTTTGATTCCTATATTCTATCCTGTTCCATTGACCTGTCTATTCTTATTCCAATACCATAGCCTTGATTTCTCTAGCTTTTTAATTAGCCTTGAAATCAGGTAACATGAGTCTTCTTGGTTTTTTTTCAAAGGTGTTTTGTTTATTTTAGGTCTTTTGCATTTCCATGTAAATTTTCAAATCAGCTTGTCAATTTCTACAAAAATGCCTGCTGGGATTTTTTTGTGGGTGACCGCACTGAACATAAAGATCAGTTTGAGGGGAACTGATATCTTAACAATACTGTATCTTGGGCCAGCCCTAGTGGCCTAGTGGTTAAGTTTGGCACACTCTGCTTTGGCAGCCTGGGTTCAGTTCCCAGGTGTGGGCCTACACTGTTCTGTTAGCAGCCATGCTGTGCTGGTGGACCACATACTAAAAAAGAAATAGAGGAAGATTGGCATGGATGTTAGCTCAGGGCAAATCTTCCTCAGCAAAAAAAATATATAAAAATAAATACTTAATCTTTCCATCTGTAAACACATTTATTTAGATATTTTTCAAAATCCACTTACTAGGTCTAGTAGATATTTGGTAGTTTTTGAGATCTTCTATGTGGAAGACATGTTGTCTGCAAATAAAGACAACTTTATGTCTTCCTTTCCTGACTGTATGCTCCATTACCACCAGCACCACCCTTTTTGTGTTTTCCCTACTACACTGACTAAGATCACCAGTACACTGCTAGGAAGAGCAGAGCAGACATCTTTGACTTTTCCCCAATCTTGGGTAAGAATTTAGTCTTTTGCCAGTAAATATGATAACTGTAGATTTTCTATAGATGACATTTAACAATTTGAGGAAGCTGCCATTTATTCCTAGTTTGCTGAGGTTTTATTCTAAATGGATGCAGAATTTTTGTCAAATAATTTTCCTGCATCTACTGAAATGATCATATGCTTTTCAGGCTATTCATACAATGAATTACACCAATTGGTTTTTGTATACTGGCTCAATCATGCATTCTTAACCTCTGCTTGGCCATGATGTACTTTCCTTTTAAAATATTGCTATATTTGTTTTGCAAATATATCCTGTTAAGGATGGTTGTGTCTATGTTCAGGAGAAATATTGGCCACTAATTGTTTTTCTTGTAATGTCTGTGGCTTTAGCATCAGGATAATGCTAGCCTCATAAAATATGTCCAGGATCCTTCCTCTTCTTTCTCGACTAGATATTGTAGAATTGACATGATTTTTTTTACTTATTTAGTTGTATTCAAATCTTTTAAATATCTTTTAAGTATCTGTAGTTTCTGAAGTGATGCTGTTCCCTTTTGTTGCTTATAATGAGTATTCATGCCTTCTTTATCTGTACTGTCATGGGATTACTGATGGCATTAGTCTTTTCAATCAACAATGTTTCTGTTTTGTTGTTCCTCCCAATTTTCTCCCCTTATTTTTCATCTTTTTTTTTTATCATTTCCTTTTTACTTTCTTGTTTAATTTACACTGTTTTTTATTCTAACCTATTGAGATGGATACTTACATATTTTCAGGCTCTTTTCTTGCCTGATCTGTACATATATATATATATATATATATATATATATATATATATATATATATATATATATAATTTCCCTTTCTTACAGGTTTAGGTGGAATCGATTTTGTGAATGGTATGTGGTAACTTTAAGTTTTCATTTTTCGTTTTACCCATATGGATAATTGAGCCAGAAACATTGAAATACCACTTTTCCTCTGTTGCTCTACAATGCCACCTTTGTCATAATTCACATGTCATTCATTTCTAGATTCTCTTTTACCATTGGCCTATTGGACTACCCATGTGCAATATCACATGGCTTAATTACTATTGGTTTATAGGAAGCCTGAGTCTGGGAAATTCTCTAAATTTGCCCTTCATAAGTTACATGTCTATTCTTGCTTTTTAGCATCTCCATATGTAATTTTAGAATTAAATTGTGAGATGTCAAAAAAAAAGCTTATTGGGGTTTTGATATGGAATATACTGAATATTGTGGGGAACTGATCTAACTTTATCAAGGAATGTTGAAGGATGTGACTAATCATATGTACTAGACACAGTGCCATGAGCAACCATCGGAGGTACTGATAGAGAATTATGAAGAACAGAGTATCAGAGTCAGCCTGATAAAGAATTACGCATAACAGGACATCAGAGCAAGCTCAATTTAACTACTGATGAACATTGACTATATGCTAACAAGAGGATGATTTACAACAACTGCAGCTTACTTCCATATAAATAGAGCTAAAAATCCATTAGAAATTTTTAGCCAATTGCTGGCTGTCTGCATATGGTATTTTGTTGTTGTTCAATGATAAAATGAACTAACTCAATATTAATGAATGGGTTGTTCCCTTGAATTTCAATTTCTTTCCTCATCTACCTAACAATATATAAATCACTTTGGGGAAAATTGGCATCTTAAATATTGAGTCTTCCATCCAACAAACTTGACAAGTCCCTTAATTTATTAAACCCTTAATTTTATTCAGTAATGTTGTATAATTTTCTATGTAGAGGTCCTGCCCTTCATGATTAGATTTATTTTAGGTGTGTTGTATTTTTGATGCCAATGTAAATATCTTTAAATTTTCACTCTTTGCTGGTATGTAGAATTAGGTTTTTAAATATTAAAATTGTATAAAGTAACTAAACTCCTTTATTTCTAATACTTAGTATACATTTTTTCTTTATACACAATTATATCATCTGAAAATAGGGTCCACTTTACTTTTTCCTTTCTGATCCTTATGCTTATTATTTTTTTCTTTCCTCATTGCACTAGTTAGCTCCTCTAGTAAAATGCAAAAAAGTGATGAACTGTTAAACAAGCAAGTGCTATATTTGAAGAGGGATTTTTACAGAAACCCATGATCAGATCAGTTAGGTTGCCTGGGGGCTGCAACAGTGGAAGGACCATTTGGGAGGCCTGTAAGGTGGGAACTGTGAATCTTTGTTATATCTGCACAAGTTTCACAGCTGTCACTATACAGAACTCCTTCTTTGCTAAATTTCTGTGTTCCCAGTATGATCTCTTGTCCTTCTCGTGCTTTCCTAAGGGCCAGCTGTAACATCTTCCATGAGAAACCCTCAGAATAGCTCAATCCATAAGATGTACCCCTCGGCCTTCTTTCTCAGGTCTGAATGGTCAATAATATCTGATGTCAGTGTTCTCAGTTCACTCTTCATAATGAAAACAGGAATTTGCCCACACAGGTTCCCACATCTGTCAGGTGTGGCCTCTGCCCTCCAGAAGTTCTCACCTAAAGGGGATCCATCTTTTCACAGTAGACAGTTCAGCCATGCAGGAAGGGGCTCTGGAGGGCAGAAAATGTGAAGGAATGAAGTGGGAACTATGTGAACATAGGTAAACCATGTTTATCCACACAGACACCCTCACCCCTGCAGGTATGCTCTCCTGCAGGGCAGCTGCAGCAGGAGGCTTCATCTAGAGCTGCTCATGGAGGAATAGGTGAAATCACAGGAAGGAGGACAGGAGATATTTTAGCAATATCAACTTCTAAAATCTATGGCTAGCAAGACTTCTCACCCCAAGAGTTTTCCTCTGTAAGTGTCCTCAGTTCCCAAGGAAGGCACCTGGGGCTATAGGGCAGGGTTCAGAAAGGAAGTGAAGAGACATTAGACAGGGTCCTTATGTGCAATCACCACAGGTTATATAAGTGTCTGTAAAAAATAATGAAAGTTTAATAAAATGTCACTTTAACATACCAAGAATCAAGGCCATGAGGGTCAAAAACGGTAAAATGAAACAGTCATAGGAATGGGATATCAAAGTGGGAACCAATCACAGGAATGGGAGGTCAAAGCAGAGTGTCTGAAGTACAAAGCAAGTGCAGATGTGGCTTTTAACTGTGCGTCTCAGCATCCTGTTGCAGGAGGATACAGAGGAAAGATAAAAAGAACTAATATTACCTGAAAATGTGCTCTACATTGTACTTTTATTTACCAATAAGTAAAAATATTCACATGGGTGAAGTAGGTTTGCCTGAAGTCACACAATCTGTACGAGCCAGGATTAAACCCAAGATCATCTGGTTCAGTACTAAAGTCTTTCCACCATACCAAATTCTCAGTGAGGGCAAGTAAAGGGGAGACCTGGTCAAGAAGCATCAATTTCAAGGTCCAGGATCTTTCCATAGAGACAGGTCAACTTATGATGCTTGAAATGGGAAAACACATAAACATCACTTTTATTGAATCTGATCAGCCTATCTTTCCATCTTTGTACAAGAATTTTACATGTATCTTTAGGGGTTACGCTAAGCTCCTCCTTATAATGCAGTTTCTAAGAACTGATTTTTTTTTACTCAAGCTTTCTTCATGCCCTTTATAGGGAACTACTGTATGGTCAAAATTATGCCAAGCTAATATTAGCAATTTCACAACGTCTGGTTGTTACATGGTATAATAAGGAATACGTAACTTGACAATAGTCTATATAAATGATTTCTTCTACTGACCATTCAGTTCATAACTTTTTAAAAGCTTTACATGCCATGTTGAAAGTATCCTTCACTTATATAATTATTTTCCATCGTCTTTACTGAAAGAATTAGGTATCACCACACTACAGACATGAATTCTCTTGTAAAATTCTATCTATAAAGATGTGTTTCACAAACTTATTAATTAGGTTTCTAGTATTTATTAAGGCTTCAGCTAATATTGAAGGCTTTTCTGTGTTCAGTTCATTCTGATTTTACACTGCTATGAATTCTCTGATGTACAGTGAGTTGTGATTTCTGGATGAAGGCTTTCCCACATACAGCACACTGATAGGGTCTTTCCCCAGTATGAATTCTCTGATGTAAAACAAGGTCTGATTTCTGGGAAAAGGCTTTTCCACATTCAGCACATATGTAAGGTTTCTCTCCTGTATGAATTCGCTGATGTCCTGGGAGGTGGGACTTCTGAGAGAAGGCTTTCCCACATTCAGTGCATACATAAGGTTTTTCTCCTGTGTGAATTCTCTGATGTCCAATGAGATGTGATTTCTGACAGAAGGCTTTTCCGCATTCACTGCATTTATAGGGTTTCTCTCCAGTATGTGTTCTCTGATGGATGATGAGCTGTGACTTCCGGGAGAAGGTTTTCCCACAGTCAGTACATTCATAAGGCTTCTCCCCAGTATGAATTAACAGGTGTGTAATGAGTTCTGTTTTCCTGCTGAAGGCTTCTACACATTGAGCACATTTGTAGGGTTTCTCCCCAGTGTGAATTCTTTTATGTATGATGAGGTGGGACTTCTCACAGAAGGCTTTCCCACATTCAGTACACTCATATGGCTTCTCTCCAGTATGAGCTCTATGATGTATAATCAGCTGTGACTTCTGGGAGAAGGCCTTCCCACACTCTCTACATTCATAAGGTTTCTCTCCAGTGTGAATTCTCTGATGTATGATGAGGGGTGATTTCTGGGAGAAGGCTTTCCCACATGCACTACATTCGTATGGTTTTTCCCCAGTGTGGACTCTCCGATGTATAATGAGGGATGATTTTTGAGAGAAGGCTTTTCTACATTCAGAACATTCATAAGGTTTCTCCCCAGTATGGGTTCTCTGATGTACAACGAGATGAAACTTCTCGCTGAAGGCTTTGCCACACGCACCACAATCATATGGTTTCTTTCCAGTATGAATTCGTTGATGTACAATGAGTTGTGACTTCTTAGCAAAAGCTTTTCCACATGTCATACATATACAGGTTTTCTCCTTAGTTTCAACATTCGGAAGTTGAACAAGGGACTGTTTATTGCTGAAAATGTTTCCACATGGATTATCATCACAGGGTATTACTCCATTGTGAATTTTCCCAAGACTGGAATTGGACACACCATGGCTAGATGATTTTTCATATCCAAAACTCTCATCAGGGTTTTTCCTTGCATTGCCCTTATTACAACTAGGAAGGTCAATATTAGATTTCAAGGGTTTTTTTAGTGCATGATAGTTATGGGGTCTTTGTCTTGAAATATCTGGCTCTATGCACTCTCGAAATATTTTTCCTAATGCATTGTATTTATGGTCTGACTCCATAGTTATTGTTTTGTTGTTGTTGACAGTTACTTGCCTGAAAAGTTTGTCTTGGTTTTCTTGATATCTCTGCAGCTGGCCATCACCTTGACAGAATTTTAAAATGGAGTACAATGAATCATCCTTTGTGACTCCTTTCAGTATCTTATTATGGAAGGAAACAGACCCCAAAATACATGATTCAGGGTTCTCAAGGTTACTCTTCCTGTCTAGAGGAAAGAAAGATAAAAGTCATAAAGAACAATTAACAGAATGCAGAAGAATGGAACAAATGATTGATCCAACGTAGCTGATGAACTCAGAAAACAGGGATGGAGACAGGTCATCTTCTAAGACAGTACAGCATATAGTATGATCAGCTGAATGAAGAGACAAGGATGTTAAAGAGAAATATTCATAGAAAAACTAGACCTGAAAGAGGTAGAAAAAAGTGCCTGGGTTGCTCTAATCTTGGATCATTCTTCTAGAATCTTCCCAATTCCCGTTTTCTGAACAGAGATGCTTTTCACCTTTTGAATTCACTTATTTTATAAACCATTTGCTATATATTTACTTAACTAGTATTATCCCATCTCTTCTGTAACTCAAAATACTTTAACTCTCCTCAGTCTGCTTTCCTAATTAACAACTAACACAAATGACAGAAAAATCCAAGATCCCACTATGGATTCAGTATCAGATTCACAGCAGGAATCCAAGCTTGAATTCCACTCCTCCCCATACTTTCTATACCTATCAAACAAAACTAGCAAAGCTCTCCTGGAAAAGCCCTATTTCCCTAAATACAAGGTTTTGTTCATATACTTTCTCTTCAGCCAACAGTCTGCCTTCACCCTCCTCCTTCAGCATCATCAACACTTAATATAACTTTCAAAGCAGCTACAGCTGCATGCTCAGAAAAATGCCTTCTCAAATTCTGTTGCATCTCTTTAGACTCTAATTTTCTCTGAACTTTTAAAAACAGTAACTGTATTTGACATTTAATTTTGTACAGCCATATATCTGGAGGTTTTACCTTCTATGTTCTTGGAAGGAATCCGCCTTCTATTGCCTATTAGGCCTTTTCATAAAAGGCATTATATATATATATATAAACATGTATAGAGAGAGTATACATATATATTTGCATGTATGTGTGTGTATAGAGAGAGAGAGAAGATGAGTAAGAAATAGCTCTCCCCTATAAAGGCCCACAATATTTAATTGATTATTTCCTGAATACCTACTAAATTTTCAACATACGAACAAAGAACAAGAAATTTCAATAAGGATAGAAACATAAGCCTCAGGCACCAATCAATTAAAAAAACAAAACAAACAAACTGATATTTCACTTCCCTTGTCTCCCATCTGCCTGATTTTCATCTGGATAGATCCAATTTGATATGTCTCTCTTTATGATCCATGGATCTTCTCCTTGTTCCAACTTGGAGATGACATCTGGTTTGGAAACTGGATGTCCTATTAAATGGAAATCAGAGGAACTGGGATTGACTGCACTGAAGGAAGAAAAGATGGTCAGTTTAAGGAGGTCTAAAAAGAAGCAGTCTAGCTGACCCTCAGCAAAGTAAAGACCTCCATTTGGGAAGGTATAAAGATCACTACACATGGCAGGAACCATCTAACCATAGCAACTGATAAGGAAAGGTACTTGACTGGACAAGTCTGAGTTACGCAGGGAGCCATCCTTACCCATTGAGACCAGGTGGCTGTAGTTCTCCAGCATCACATCCCTGTACAGGGTCCTCTGAGCAGGATCCAGTTGCTGCCACTCCTCCTGGGTGAAATCCACAGCCACATCCTTGAATGATACTATCCCCTGCAACAGTATATTCCTGTTCAATCTGAAGTGATTATGCTCATCATCTCTACTATACTATGCAAAACTATACCTACACCTCGTTTTGTATCATAGTATTTGGGAGAAACAATGTAAAATCCTGTCTTTAGCAAGAAGAGTCCAATAGATCAGCAAAATAGAAGAGGTAAATCATAAAATGCCTACCTAATACAAATAGGAATTTAATAAATGATAAGGCTAGCAATCAAATAACTGGAAGGAAGAGAGATTATTCAATGAATAGTATTGAAACAACTGGATGGTCAACTGGAAAAGAATAACATTGAATCCATGTTATAGGCTGAATTGTATCCCTGAAAATTCCTATGTTGAAGTCTTAACCCCCAAGACCTCAGAATGTGACCTTATTTGGAAAGAGGGTCATTGCAGATGTAATTAGTTATCTGAGGCCATTAGGGAGGACCCCAATCCAACATGACTGATGTCCATATCAAAAGGAGAAACCTGAACAGAGAGGCAGACACACATAGAGGAAAGATGATATGAAGAGACATGGGGATAAGATGGTCATCTAGAAGCCAAGGAGAAAGGCCTGCAATAGGCCCCTCCCTCACAGCCCTCAGAAGGAACCAACCCTGCTGACACCTTGAGTTTTGACTTCTAGCCTCCAGAACTGTGAGAAAATAAATTTCTGTTGTTTGATCCATCTTGTTTGTGGTACTTTGTTACAGTAGTCCTAGCAAAGTAATATACTATATCTTATGTCTTGGAAAACAGAAAACATACATTCTGGAAGGAGCAAAAATTTAAACTCTAAAAAATATCCAAGACCATAAAAGTAACAAAACAAAACATGGGAGTATTTTTATTAATAATTATAGAGCAGAAAAGGCCTTTCAAAGACAACATTAAAAAAGAGAGAGGGGCTGGCGAGGTGGCATAGCGGTTAAGTTTGCTTTGGCAGCCTGGGGTTAACCAGCTCGGATCCCAGGCACAGACCGATGCACTGCTCATCAAGCCATGCTGTGCCAGGCGTCCCACATATAAAACAGAAGATAGGCATGGATGTTAGCTTCCTAACAAAATAAGTAAATAAAAAGACAAAATGTGGGGCTGGCCCCATGGCCGAGTGGTTAAAGTTCATGTGCTCTGCTGCAGGTGGCCCAGTGTTTCGTTGGTTCGAATCCTGGGCGCGGACATGGCACTACTCATCAAACCATGCTGAGGCAGCGTCCCACATGCCACAACTAGAAGGACCCACAACAAAGAATATACAACTATGTACTGGGGGGCTTTGGGAAGAAAAATAAAAAAATCTTAAAAAAAAAGACAAAATGTATTTTCTTAAAAAAAGAGAGAGAGAAAAGCCACATTTGGAGAATCACAGAACATCAGAGTTCTTTAAAATCATAATCTAATCCTGTCATTTTAAAGGAAATAATCTTAGCTTCTCCTAAATCTAACAGTTCTCTCATATATGTCATAGCTAGTAATATAATGAAATTCAACAATTACAATAGTAATACCGAAGAAGAGACATAACAAGAAATGTGCAGGAAACATTCACAAAAAAAATCACAACAAATTATTGACATGGTATTAAAATAAAAGACTTGGGTAAGTGAAGAGTCATAAGATGTTTCTGGAGGGAAAACTATTTTAATTATGTCAGCATTATGTTCACAATAGTTGTCATCTAATAGTGGAATCTGAGTGATTAATATTATTCTAAACTATTTCTCAGGTTTTTTCCTAAACATTCCATTATTACCAAATATTCCTTTGAGAAAAAAAGAAATTAAATACTGTTTCAAATTTCAACATTCCCCTGCTTAAAAGCCTCCTTTGGCCCCCTCCTTGCATACTCAGTCTCGTCTCAGTCATCTCAATCTTAAGGGTTCTCTCATCCCACACCAAGTCTCACATTCACACCATCAAGCCTTATTAATTTTCCCACTTTACATATGAGAAAATGGAGGATTACAGTGCTTTAGGAACTACCTGCCAGAGCTTACACACTGAAATAGGACTGACTGACTCTCAGATTTAAAAGTAGGTGTTCTGACTTGACAGCTTGGGTTCTTGACTACTGCACTCCACACTGCCTCCCTGATCCCGTTGACAAGATCGTTTAGATTTTATTGCTTATTACCACCCTTAGTCACACTTTCCATCAAACACTCTCCACTTTAGTTTCCCTCAGTTCTCAGCCGTCCAAAATAGAAATTTTTACAAATGCTGTTTCCCACCTCACCCTACTTCCCTCATGATCCAAAGTTTGATAAACTTTTAAGCATTTTCTCAACTTCCTTATAAAGCTGGTTGCTCCCCCTTCTCTGCTATATCTCCTTGCTCCACATCTCTTATGGAGCTTTTTTGTGCCAATGTTGGTTTCCACATCTGTTTACCCCATTTCTCTCTGTATTCTTCCCAGGAAAGAACCGTGACTAAATTTTGAGACATTTCACAGCCAGCCAGTGCCTGTGATGTATATTGTGTACTCAAGAAATGATTGCTAAAGAGGAATGAAGACTATAGAAATTAAAAGTTCATGTTTAATTAAAAAGTTTTGTGTATTAGTCAATTACATTCTTCTGATCTAAAGAACATGAGAAAGATAATAAATGTGGAATATAGAGGAAATCCATTCTGATAAGAAAATATATGTAATTCTAACAATCTGACTTTATTAATGATAACTGAATACTTCAATATACTAAATATGTATACATTTTGTTAATGTTGAGTAAAATAAGTGCATAATCAGTAAAAAATATTGTACTTTTATCAGCTATATACAACTTTTGCAGCTTGGGTGACTGTGAGGATGGAAGAGACGGAGGAGATGGAAGGGGAGTAGGTGTTAGAGGGAGAAAAGAAGAATAGATATTTGTGAAAATGATGAATGCACTTCTGGACAACGTAGAGAAAATACAAATCCCTTTTCCTGAAGGAAAAAGCATCTAATTGGTTAATTAGCATGGTAGTTGGATTTATTGGGCTAATAAAAAACCCATTTTCATTCTCTAAAGCAGTTCTAACAGAAATATAAAGCAAATCAGATAGGTAATTTTAAATTCCCTAGAAGTCGCATTCAAAAAATTATCTTCAATAATATATACTTATCCCAATAGATCCAAAATATCATCTTAACATGTAATCAATCTTTAAAAATTATGACTGAGTCGTTGGAATTATATCTTCAAAATCCAGTATGTACTTCACACTTAGAACACATTTCAATTCAGACTAGCCAATGTCAAGTGCTCAGTACCCACATATGGCTGGTGGCTCTGTATTGGACAGCACAGCCTAAAGACACTGACATCCGACGAGGAAAAATACTTATCTTTTCACAACAGAACTCATTTGTTAAGTGCTACTGTAAAATATACATAAGAACTCCTAATGCAAAAGCTGACTTCAAGATTCCACTATAATAATAACAGCTAACACGTAAATAGAGAACAAACCATCCCTAGTTACAGTTCTAAGCATGGTTTTTACTCATTCAATTCTCACAACAACCCTATGAGGATTATAATCTCCATTTTAAAGATGAGGAAACAATGCCAGTCAACCAGGCCACAGGGAAATATTATGTATCTGCTAAAATGATAAAGGAGAATTCTATGTACTGGCATGGGAAGATATTCAAAATGTATACAAAAGTCTCTATGCTGGACGATAAAGTTAAAAGTCAAGTTGCAGAACAGAATGTTTACTGTAACATTATGTTTTCAAATGAGAAGCACAAGAAAACCAGAGACACTTACAGATTTTTTTCTTTCACATATATACACTTAATCGCAGTTAAACTTACATTCAAAAAGGCTTGGAAAATTAGAAAACGGTTAACACTGATAAACTCAGGAGGAGGGAACTTTAAAAGCTCTCTCAGTTTTTAAACTTTTATCGTTTTATAGTTTAAAATTTTTATACCATGTAGATAGTGAACATCGGCAGGGAGAAAAAATAATATAGACTGTTAAAAATGGAAGAGCGGGGAAGGAACTGGCCTTGAGTTGGATGGTAACCCTACAAACTCTGAAACCACAGCACAGGGTACAGAGCGTCAGGAACCCTTGTTCTCCAAAGCTTTGCCAGATAAGTCTAACTTAGGAACTGCCTTTTGAGAGAAATACATATTTTGGAAGACCATTGAAAATGTACCCAGAACTATCTTATCTAGATTTTATCAGTGGATAAACCTGGACAATAGGAAGCCTCTGTAATCAATTTGGTCCTCTAAAGCAGAGGTCAGCAAACTTGTTCAATAAAGTATATATTTTCAGCATCACAGGCCAAATGGTCTCTGTTGTACTTACCCAACCCTGCTGTTGTAGCATGAAAACAGCCATAGGCAGCAGTGAACAAATGGCAAGGCTGTACTGCCAATAAAACTTTATTTATAAAAACAGTTGGAGAACTGGATTGGCCCACAGACAACAGTTTGATGACAGCAGCTGAAAGGATAAAGTTCAAGGAGTTTGGCTATGACGTTATGATACCTTCTCTCTAAAAGAGATCATTTTATGATACAGCTAGAACAAATCTATTGCATTTACCACAGGAGTGCTTACTGAGAACACTGTGTATTCCACCACCTAGAGAAAGACCCAAAAAGGATGTCTGTTTTAGACTCATATGGCAAGAAATAATTCTTTCCCATGGGAAATTTATCTACTTTCTCTTTAGAGAATTGCAAATCATGTAACTGATGATGTCTGCAAGAAAGATCAGAAAAATTAGTACAGCAATTTTTAAAGATGATTTCAAGCCAGGTTATCTACATATTTCCTAGAAACTCCTTCTAAGTTTTGATCTTTATTTCGGCTACCTTTTCCCTAATCCAAATTTTAGCTATTTGCACTTTTCCATTTGTAGAGAAAATTTTAAAAATTAAATACGAAAAATAAAAGCAACTCACCTGGGACTTCATCATTTTCTGCTCTTTTCTAAAAGGGCAGATGCCTAAAAAGGCCAAACTGGTGATCAGAAGGACATTTTCACAGACCAGACCCAGATGGCAGCTTCCACATTCACCAGCCTGGAAACAAGGACCACCAGAAGTCAGGTAGATCACAGGCCAGCCTGTGGGAGAAGGTTGCTCGGTCCTTCCAGAAGGGTGAGCAAGCACTATGTGAAGGAAGTCCTCTCGTGACTATACTATGATCACACAGAACTTGGACAAAGTTTTTGAATTGTATAGATGTGAAGACATGTGTCATGCTGATTTACTAGCAACTTATTTTTCCTCTATGAACCAGCAATTCTATGCAGAATGTTTTCATAAGGCAGTAAACATGGATAGACACATACAAGATTCAACTGCAGACAGAGTTCCCCGGCAATAAGAACAGCAATGACCAAATGGAAAACTGAGGAATGTATTCCCTTATTCCCCAGAAACAACCAGCTGAACTCTAATCATCTCCCAAGAGCTCTCTCATATTTTCCCTCAACTCAGCAAACTCTCCTGCCAATCAGTTTTTATGGACCAAAATGTTAAATTTTAAGATGTTTTCTGTTCAAATTCTTATTGCTGATTTTCGATAGTGCAGTTGTCTGCATCTACAAATGGTGACAGGTTAGAAGCCCTGATTCAAGGGAAGACACTGCAGTGCATGAAGGTACATACCCGGTAAATTTTCCTCAGTTCCAGGAGGAGTCATGCAGACAAGGCTGTCCGGGTTCAGAGGAAGAGAGCGCTCCCTTGACAGGGAGACTGTTTTACACGGGATATTCCAGGTTTTGTCAAAGCAGATCCCGAAGGAAACAATCAGAAGAAATCATCTTACTCATCTGTGGGCACCCAGCAGGTGCTCAGTAAATGTTTCTTGAATAAAACATAAAATTATTTCAATACACTTAGAAAGAGGTAGGACTAAAGTCACACTTTTCATAGTAATCCTATCCTTTTCGATTTGTTTGGTCTTGTTTTAAAGTGACCATTTCTTTGGGGGGCATCAGGCTAAGGGCACAATGGTGGCTGGAGAAGGGATTTGACCTTCAAGAACTCAACGTTTGCCTCTGGTCTGTGTAAAGTTTAATGTATATAAAAGCCTTTCCCAGCAAATTGGGAAAATTTGGGCTGATCGTAATGACGCCCTGATCCCATCAGTGCTCCCTCCAATCTCTGAGTCCTCGTGCCTGGCAATCACGAACCCCACAGAACTCCCTCATGCCCATCACACCACGGACCACCACGCGGAGGCCCCGGTCATTTAGTCCACAGGCCCCTCGCCGATCACTGCTTCCCCAGGGGCTCCTAAATCACTGACTCCAATCATCCCCACCAGTCAGTCCCCCTACCCGTCATTTCTGCTCCCACAGACAACTCCATCACTGACACCTCATTCCCCAATTACTAATCTCATAGCTCACTCCATCCCTGACTCCCAAATAAACCCAACACTAATACCACAAACCACCCCCACCAGCGACCTCATAAACCCCCAATCACTGACCCTCACGGACCCCTCCCTTCCCATTCCAATCCAACAGACTCACTCATGCTGCACATATCCGGTTTCTGACCTGCGGCGCAGTTATCCGGTCCCGCAAGGCACATCACGGCTTAACTTGGGACGGCCGTCGCATCCATACCGGCGGACTCTCCCGCTTCCTGCCTGGATGAGCAAAACGCGGGGCTCCGAGCCTGCGCGGTTCCGCACCGGGCGGTTTCGCCCGCTCCGCATCCTCGGCGGCTTTGTTCAGGAGGAGCATGGCCGCCCCCTGCACCGAGCCTGACGGGAGCCGCCATCTTGAGAGCCGGATCAGTTCCGTACGGGCGGAAGAATTCCGTTTAATCCAAGCCTGAGGTTGGGCTGTACCACCGCAGCAGGGAGGAGGAGGGGAGGGGGAAGAAGATGACGGAAAGAAGGAGTATACAAACCAGTAAGGTGCCCACTTTTGCAGAGAGCTTTCACAAGATTGGAGAAGACGTTTGAGTAATACGTCCTCTATTAGAGGACTGCATTAAGTGAAAGAGGAAGAATTTGGAATGGTAAAATATTCTTATCCACGACTCTACTTAAACGCGTTTGTAAATGGCACAGTCCTATGCCGGGAGATTCTACTTGCTGAGGGGGTGAAAAAGCGGAATGGTACAGTCCTCCCCGGGTGGTTCCACTAGGGGAAAGAGGGGCCAAAGTAAAAGGAATACAGAGTAATAATGAACTTTATGCTAAAAACGACTGTAAAGAGTTCTCAGAGGAAAGTACTACTACAGTCATAAGTGACGCAGGCCGACTGAAGGAAAAGGGAAAAATTGAGAGACAGGAATGAAAGACCGGCACAGAGAGAGGGATGATGGAAGGAAATCAGAGACTAGGAGAAAGCAGGAATAATGGGGGCAAAGGAGAGGCTGTGTAGGCAGAGAGATGGGAGACTGAAGTCTATACCTTACATCAAGCTTTTATACTTTGTTAAAAATGTGTGTTAACAAACTGTTTCACATGCCTATGTCGACGAAAATAATCCATACCCAATCTATAAATGAAAATTTGGGTGAGTTTATTCTGAGCTGAAATCTGAGGACCATGGCCCAGGGCCTTTCTTCCCGAAGGAAGAAAGGGCACCAAGGAAGTGGGGTGCACAGAGTGGTTATATACCCCCAAACAGGATGTTTCACATAGGATTGAAATGGCCCTTTTACAATAGTCGCGAGACTGCTCTGTCGGCACAGTGATTGATGGAAATAGCAGGTAGGTCTGCTGTCTCAGTGAACACAGCAGAATGGCAGGTCTGTTGTCCCCAGCTGAGTGGTCACAAGTGAGCTCCGCAATCAGTTCCTAGCGTAAGGAAAGGTGCTTAATCTTTAAGGAAATGCCGACGTTGGGAGGGGGAGGGAAGTTGCACCTTTATCTCAAGGGCCTTTGTTCTTGCCATTGGAAATGTATATACAATGCATGCTCAATGGCCACAGTCAGGCCCTTTTGGAAAAAACAAAGTCAGGCCGAATTAGGTTTATACCGAATGGCTTCCTCATATACTCCAATATATATTGCTTGCCATTTTTATTTGTCACCTAAATAGATACAATCTTGAATCATCATAGTTTTCACTGGAGCCATGATTTTTGGTTTATGTAATTAAATGAGCAGCAATTTTATGTTTAGCAGTTTTATTTTCTCATGTGAAATTAGAACAAATCCGGACTTAGATAAGGAGAGATGTTATTCAGAAAGATTATTGCAACAGGGAGAATGCGCCAATCTCAGAAATCTGCAAGCATCTCCAAATCAAATGGAAAAAGGCTTTTCTTTTTACAGGGAGGGCTAAGAAAGGTCAGCAGGAACTTTCAAAAGGTGGGGGTGTGCAAGTGGCAAATGATGAGGATTTTAGGCTGGTTACTTTTAAAACTGCACATGAGAAGCAGGCTCCAAGGACTGGAATTTTGCTTGCCCTTTTGAGAGACATTTGCGTTTGTGAAGGAAGAGGGGATGAGCTTGTAGGGACCTGAAATTGGCCACCCCAGGATATGTCTCTTTGGCATCGGGACCTTTACTTAATCCGATTTGATTCTTGTCTAAAAGTCATGGGATCACCCAACGACCAGACCCCACCTGCACTGATACCATTTTAACTTTTTTTCATGTTCTTTCCTTTGTCTTCGTAAAGAGATGACTCACATACCTATGCCTTAAATTTAGCCCTAACCCTCAACTCGGGGCAGCAGCAGGAGCTCTGACTGCCCGTGGGTCCTGTCCCCACGCACCAGCTCTGCCTGCCCATGGGTCCTGTCCCCATGCCAGCGCGGGCAGCAGAAGCAGTGGCAGCAGACGCTCTGACTGCCCATGGGTCCTGTCCCCATGCTATTCTATTCTCTAAATAAAAGAGCACTACTGCCAGATCTTGAGAGTCCAAGAAATCTTTCTTTCGACTCCTCGGCTCACCGACCCCGCATCAGCAAACAAGGGCACTTCAAGAGGAAATGTTTCTGCGGTCCTTAGATTCTGGGAATAAGCTATTAAGGGAGGATGTTCTGCACATCCTTAGTGTTTTAGTGTATGTTTAAACTTGTGGGCAAGCCAAAGTTTAGGAGCCTGTGGGGAGGAAAGAGGCATGACTAATGGCTGGTCAAGACAAAGAAGAGGGTAAGAACTAGGCAGTTGTGATCACTCACTTCAATGTAAACTTCTGCAATTACATGAATATTTACTGCATGGCTTGTGCTTAAGACAGTGTAGCCACTGTGTTAGGCACTAAGCGTACAGTGATGATTATTTCAGAATCCTCAAAGAGTGATGCCAGTGGACATTGTAGGTTTAGGAAGGGGCCAGACCATGGACAGACTTGTAGGAGCTGTGAAAACTTCAGCTTTTGGTGCTAAGAGTGATGAGAAGCTGTCCTTATGTTGTATTGATGTGGGGTCGGTGAGCCGAGCAGTTGAAAGAAAGATTTCTTAGACTCTTAAGATCTGGCAGTAGTGCTCTTTTATTTAGAGAATAGTATGGAATAGCATGGGGACAGGACCCATGGGCAGTCAGAGCTGCTGCGTGGGGACAGGACCCACGGGCAGTCAGAGATGCTGCTGGCATGGGGAGCTGCTGCTGCCGCCGCTGGCATGGGGACAGGACCCATGGGCAGGCAGAGCTGCTGCCGGCATGTTGCTGCTGCTGCTTCTGCTGCAAACATGGGTGGAGAGTAAGGCTAAATTTAAGGCATAGGTTTGTGAGTTATCGCTTTACAAGACAAAAAAAAAGTTAAAATGGTACCAGTGCCGACAGGGTCCGGCCATTGGGCGGTCCCACAACTTTTAGATAAGAATCAAACCGGATTGAGTAAATGGCAGAAGTCACCGCTTAAATATTATCTTCAGCCAAAGACAAAGGAGGATTTGGGGGGGGGGGGGGGGGCGCGTCAGTTACATGAGGTTGCCAGACAGTAAACAACTTAAGTTCT